GTGAGCATGAGTCCAGTGAGCAAGAGTCCAGTGAGCAAGAGTCCAGTGAGCAAGGGTCCAGTGAGCAAGGGTCCAGCAGGCACTCAAAGCAGCCGAGCCTCAGGTCCTTCACCTGCACGCAGCAAAGAACCTGAGGATGAACCATGTCCAATCTGTATGGAGCCAATAGTGGCAACAGAGAAAAAGACTCTAAACTGCAAGCACTCGTTCTGTAGAGACTGTCTGAAAACAGCTTTCAACTACAAGCCTGTGTGCCCGACATGTGGACAGCTGTATGGCGTTTTGAAGGGGACACAACCTGATGGAGGCAAAATGGAAGTTACCAGAAATGCTTCATCTTTGCCTGGATATGAGAAATATGGAACAATAATCATCAGTTATTACATTCCAAGCGGCACCCAAACGGTAAGACAACAGATTTAACTATTTTTGGTTTTTTTAGAGATTTGGTGTTTGGAATTAGCGGCTGCAAGAATGTATTTTTGGCTCCAGTGCAAATGGAGCTAAATGAATGCTGGAATGGTCTTTTCGATCACAATAGTTGTTATGTCATTATTATATCAACAAGACCATTCTACGTAACTATGTGTGCTGTTCATATGTTTTTTTTATCATTATTATTATTGTTAGTGAGGACAGAGTTTAAAATTCTTTTTTGTGTTGATTTTTTACCATCTTTTTAGATATTTTTTTCTTTCTTGAAATTGCTTGTTTCTGACTTTTGTATAAGTGCGCCCCTGTGTACATGTTTCCTTTATGTTCTGTCCTTCTTTTAAAATGTAATAAATAAAAGGTACTGTTGCCTAAGAGCTGTGAACCCCCAGTCACATGAATATGGGCACATCCTTGAGCAGAGAAACTTCTATTGTGTGTCTGCAGGAGGAGCATCCTAACCCTGGTCACCCATACGAAGGAGCATCCCGTACAGCCTATCTCCCAGACTCCTCAGAGGGGAACAAGGTCCTGAAACTGCTGAGACGAGCCTTTGATCAGAGACTCAGCTTCACTGTTGGACGGTCCACCACCAGTGGCAGGAGCAATATGGTCACATGGAACGATATTCATCACAAAACCTCAGTATATGGAGGACCAACTCAGTAAGGACTCCTGCTTTGGCAACATTAGCCTACATTTTATTGATGTGAATTAAATGCCATTACTAATAATAGTGATAATAAACTTTATTTAAATAGCACCTTTCAAAAACAGGTTTACAAAGTGCTTTTACAGGGTAAAAACAACACAAACAACAGAACACTAGGAACCGTAGCAGCATCAGTAACAATATATAGCCTAAAAGCTGCTGCATTGCATTCTGCATATCAAACAATAAAAAAAATATTTTTTTTACTTCCCCAAAGGACAGTAAAAGAAGAGATCTGTAGCTTAAGGCCATCTGCAGAGAGGATAAAAAGTGTAAAACAATATGTGTCTGTCTGTGGCAACAACCGCTTGTAGAATGGAGTTTGGTTTGACAGTGTGGAGCAGAGGGTATTTTAACCTTAATAATTCACATAATTTGAGCTGCCCTACCTTCTATAAATTAACCTTATAAACAGCATAAAGTTACATAGAAAGTGGCAATAAAACCCACCCGTTTTCTTCTTTTCACAACTCGTAGTAAAGCGTTGATTAATAAACACAAACGCCGGTTCTGCTTCACCCCAGCGTCTTAACAGTTTCAGATGTCAGAAATATGAGATTCAATAAGGTAGTTGTATATGTCAAGTCAGTCCACTTTGATGAAGGCAGACTGACTCATCAACACCTATTTCTGCTTTTTACATTTTCTACATATACATATATAATGATGCAGATCATTGATCTGCAGTGACATAGTTGTTTCCCTTGTTGGCCATATGGTTTTGGTTCCTAATAGCTTAAAAGCAATAGAGTATTCTTATTTTATGTTATTAAATTGGCAAAGACCTCAAGACATGAACCAGTATACCACTAACCAAATAAGCCACTGAGCAGGATGTGAAAATGTGTTTGACATGTTCATATCTAACTGCCACAACAAAGATTTCCTTTGTTGTACAGTGGATTGGCATGCATTCATTCCTCCTTTTTACATCTAATATCTATTTATCTCAAGACAAAGTTATTTATGTGACCTAAATTATTAGCAGTACATATGATAATGCACAATAGTATCACTGTATTTTAATTGTGACTATGAAACTGTCCGGATGAGGTTGCTGACTTTCTGTCCTTGTGTTTGCAGCTATGGATATCCAGACCCTGATTATCTCAGCCGAGTTCGAGATGAACTGAAGGTTAAAGGGATTGAATGACTTTAAGGTTTGTCAACACATGAATGTAGAGCTAACACATGACACAACTATCTCAAAAGCGTGATGTACTGACATCCCACATTGTAAAATGCACTTACACTACAAACCAGGAGGGAAATTTCTTTTCATATTTTTAATTCTAATTATTGTTTATTGACTTGTTTATATTTTATTGACTTTTTTTGTCTGAAATAACTCAATATGGCTGGGGAGTGACATTTCAACAGTTGATTTTTATTGGTCTAATTGGTCAGAATTCCCACGTCCTGGAAAACCTGGAAAATCTCGAAATTGAGAGGCTTGTTTTCCAGTTATGGGAATTGATTAAAATAACCAAATATCCTGGAAATGTTTGTATTTTAGCTCCTCAGTCAGATTGCCTATGTAAACCTATGGTGTGTATTTTATACACGTGTGATAATATATGCACAGTAATGCTGATTGTATGTGCAATTACCACTTCAACTTGCTGGCATGTTATGTAAAATAAAATACACCCTACCTGATGTGAATTAAATGTAAAATGTAAGATGGAAATTATTGTAGTCAATTTGCCCAAAACCGCAGCTTATATAATATATATTTGTAAGCAAGTGCTGTCTGTTATTATCAAAAAAAAGAGTTGGAACCCTGTAAACTTCATGATATGTAAGTATTCTAATTTGGCAGCAAAGCAAAGAGCTAACTGGGCTTGCTTTATACAGTAGATTGTAAATCAAAAAAATATTTCAAATTACTGTATTCTGTCAATGCACAGGTAGTACTGGTAAAATTATTTAATGTTAGGTTGTGGGGATTTAAAGGTGTTTTAGGTGAAATCTGTATTTTGGCTAAATTCCTGTCAAGACTTTTGTGCATAATGACTTTATTTTTTGATCAGTTAATGAAGTGATGTCAATAGAAACCATCTTTAGGCCCAACAAATGAAGTCAGAACTTTTTGTTTTGCTCTGTTGTAATCAATAACTAAACAGCCAGCAATGGTCTCAAGATTTTTAGATTTTTTTAATTTTAGCTTTGTTTAATGTCATACATGCTGAAAAACATGGGTTTTTAACCATTATTCCACATAAAATGCCTCAAAATAAAATAAAAAAGATATTAAAAAATAACTTTTGAATACTACCAGCTATTTATTCAAGGAATCAAGTTTTAAAACTAAACATTCATGGTATGTAAATTTGGTAGCTTTACCTATTAGGAATCCAGAGATTTAAAATAGAAATAGTTATTTTCACAAAATGGTCACAGAATGTTCAGCTACCACTGCACCAGTATCCAAAAGATCCAATGGTATACAAGTTTATGGATCTGTATCCAGATCTATATATCATATCAAAATAAAATCTGTCACTGTTCCTATACAAATGTTTCACCACTTTGGATAGTAGCTGTATTTTTAGTACACCCTTCTGCAATCCTGTATGAAAACTGTTGACATCTAACAAGTCGTCTGCATTTCTAGAAAACAATTGGTGTAATTGTAGTTTTGGTTGATTGATGAGTCGTCAAATACAACGTTCTGGGCTAGTACCTTGAAGATAGTTGACTGCTGAGTCTCAGTCCCAGGTCCTCATTGGTTGTTTTCTTTTAGGTACGTGGATTCTTATAAATGCCATAAGGAACAAGGGAAACCATAGGAACAGTAGGAACAGTGAGTCAGTGAACATCAGTCTCATGTACTGTAAGGGTACAGTGAAATGTATTACTTTTATAGGTTACCTACTGCAACTTGTGTGTGTGATTGTTAAAAAACAACAGTGAATTGTATAAAAGATCCTAAAAATATCAGGAAAACTCTGATATAAATATTCAGGAAATAATCTGTTCAAAATTCCTCCAAATCACTCATTTTACACAAACTTACTTTGGGTTCATCATACAGTTTATCAGTTGTTCTCTACTGTTATGTGATATGAAATATCCATAAAACATGTTA